TAACGAGTCTTTGGCGCCCCCTGCTGGACCAAAGTGTTAAGTTTTCGGGGGACTCCTGTGCAGCTGGAGAAAGGATGCATCACAATCATGTCAGTAAATGAAAATAAATAAATATTACAAGTCCTCCAAAATCCAAACTAGACAAAGTATTTTACCAAGCATCAACTATAAATCAAATGCCGCCAAAAGACAAAGGCGAACGACACTGCAAAATAGTTCATGAACTGCAACATGGGTTTTAATAAAACTTTCAGGAGATAAACACTGAATTTATCTATATGCGATTAACTCTTAGCGCCAACACAATTTAAGATGGACTCCACCTCCAAGTGATTTTATAAAACACAGCAATGGTTATAATTCAGTGAGTCTTACAGATCTTGTGCTAAAGTTCAGCGTAGCTGCAGCTGAGACACATACTGTGAGCGTATCCAGTGATTTTCAATGTTCAACCAAACCATCTGCAACGCCATCATTTCTTATCTTAAAGGTGATCTTAGTTGAAAACTGTCATGGACGGAGGTGAGCATCTGGATTATTTTAAAGAATGATGGGCCTTAAATTTAGGTCTTTGTGAAATTTGTAAAAATAAATTTAACAAACAAAATCACATAAACCGTTCTATAAAACAGACACCTGCGGTTGCTCTTCTTCAGGCCATTAGCCTTCAGAGTACTGTATTTCATGTCTGCAGGAAAGAACGTGAGCGTTGGTCTCTGGAGCAGAAGGTCTTTACTCTGAGAGACTCTCCCTCTTCCTCGTCAGTAACGGATGGAGACTTCCCCTGACTGATGTACGACTCGATGCTAAACATCCATCAGGAGGAGGCATGGATGCTCTGGGTATTCAGTGTAATGGAAACGTCAATAACGTGCATACTCTGATGAATCCACAATTACCGTGGTTTATGATTTATGACCGCTGATGTTTTCAGAGCACGGTTCCTGAACCTGAACACGAGGACTCACATGTCAGAGTAACAAGTGTCAGACACTTTCTTCATCCATCCACATCTTAGCTCTGCAGATGTGGGAAAAGCTTTTCACCTAACAACACTGTGGCACAGTTAGATGTCAGTTATGAATTTTGGATGAGAGACGAAAAGTTTCAGTAAAAAGAAACGGTCCTGAGGACCTGACTTAACTTTGTTGGATTTTTTACCTGGATTATTGTTAGCTGCTCTCCTGGCTCCCTGTCAGGTTCAGAACTGAATTCAAAATCTTACTTCTAACCTACAAAGCCCTCAACAACCTAGCTCCATCTTATATTACAGATCGTATTGTTCCATATTTTCCTAACAGAGCACTTCGTTCTCAGACTGCAGGTTTACTTGTGGTTCCTAGAGTTTCCAAAAGCAGAATGGGAGGAAGATCTTTCAGTTCTCAGGCTCCTCTCTTGTGGAACCAATTTCCAGATTCTGTCCATAAGACTGACACATTGTCCAGTTTTAAGTCTGGGATTAAGACTTTTTTTTTTTGATAAATCCTATAGTTAGGTTTGGCTTGGGTTTCCTGAGCTGTTCCTTAGTTATGCTGCTACAGGCTTAGCCTGGAGGACAAACTGACCACACTTTTCACTCTGCTGCTGTCTTTACTTACTCTGCTCAACCTGTTTGTTTTTGTAATTATTTTTATCTTAACATGTTTTTGTCTTTTGTCTTTTTATTCTGATTCTGAAGTGAAGATCCAACACATCTAAGTTCTCCATCTAAGATTCCTTAGATAGAGAACTTTAACTAATTGGCTTTTTTTATGTATATGAACGTTTCTGTTCAGTGCCCAGAGACGACTTATGTGGTGACTCGGTGCTTTATAAATAAACTGAATTGAATTATTGAGCTTAAATTTTGATCAATTATGAATACGTTTTTAAAAGCCAGTTTCTAGACTGTCGCTTATTTCTGAGATTCTAGAAAAATAATTTATGCACAAATGTTTTCATAAAAACAAGATCTTTAATAGTTGCATTCTGATTACAGTGCCCATCATATTTGATCAGTTTTGTTAAAAGTCTTTATTGACCTCTTTCTGTTTTTAAAATGGACTCCGTTGTTGTGGCTAGTTCTCAGTGCAGTTTCTGATAGTTATCCACTGGTTCACCTCTTAATTATCTGATAAATATTTTTCTTTATTTTAGGACATTGCTCTTCCTCTGCAGCTTTTATCAATTGTGGAGTTCCTCAAGGATCAATCTTGGGGTGACATTTTGTTAACATCGCCCTCTTTGGTCAAATCTTCCACAATTGCAATATTTCATTCAGTTTCACTTATGCAGACAACACGTAGATTTATAAGCTCTTTAAGTAAATGGTAACCAAGAGGCCAGCTGAGTCTGGGTGGATGGATCGGACGGCACCTCAAAACACCCATACACAAACAGAGTGGTGTAGTGTATGCGGTCCAGTGCAGCGAGGACTGTCCAGACCTCTACATTGGAGAAACTAAACAGCCTCTTCACAGACGCATGGCTCAACACAGGAGAGCCACCTCCTCTGGACAAGACTCAGCTGTTCACCTCCACCTCACAGATAAGGGACACTCTTTTGAGGACCAGAATGTGCACATTTTGGACCGAGAACACAGATGGTTTGGGGGGGGGGGGGGGGGGTGAAGGAAGCAATTTATGTAAAAAGAGAAAAACCCTCTCTTAACAGAGGAGGAGGCCTCAGATTTCCACTTTCAAAAACATATAATGTAACTTTAAAACAGATCCCCAGCCGGTTTTCACACCTGATGGGAACAGAGGGGCCTCATCTGTGAATTAGAGGAACAAAGACTTTTAAGAAACCCGAACTGTTAAGGTGTGACTTGTCAAATATGTGTGTGTGTCTTATCTCACTCAGCCGTAAAACCTGTATCTCTCACTCTCTGCTCTTTGAATTGAGAAAGCTCCTCGGATGAGGAGCGAAACGTCTTCTGTTACAAATAAAGTCCAGTTGTTTTTGTATTGAACGTTTTTTGAAAATATATATATATATATATATATATGTGTCTGTATCAAATATCGTATTTGCTTTTTAATTGATTTTAATGTGTTTGAGCTAAGGAGGTATTTGTTATTGATTTATGGGTTAATTGTGCAGCACTTTGCTTTGGATGTTTTCAATGTGCTTTGGTAATAAAGCTGATGGTAAAATGGTAAAAAATAAAATCTTGCTGACTGATTTCCAGGTTAAGTCTGTTTTCCTGTAGTTGGTCCTCCACAGGCTCATTGGGGAAACGTGTTGACCAAAGAGATCTGGCTGAAGCTCCTGAAGGTTAATTAAGAAATAAGGCTCAAAACTGGCAAGTACACATTTTTTTAATAACATGGCACAATTTACATAACACAAGTTTAAATGAGGAACATGCTGAAGATCCAGTTGCTTCATTTTTTTCTTATTTGTACATTATCTAGAAAGATTTCTTCCCTCCTGTACATAGTAAACAGCAAAAGAGTTTTTCATTGACAATCTTTTTGCAATACTCACTGACTAACCACTATGGCTCTGGCGGACAGTTTATTGTTAGATTAAAAAACCCAAAACACTGCACAACATGGTATCACAGAGTTCGAAGCGCACAACTAAACCTTCGGTGGACGACTAAAATAGATCTCTGCACGTTGTTTCCAACTCGCAAACACTTGAGACTTGCTCTTTTGATTTTGTAGGTACAACAACCTAAAAAAATGCACTTGAACACACCGTTTGACCAACAGATCTGGTTTAGACTCGTCCTGTGGGGTGAATGTGCCGTCGTTCAAACAGGCTGCATTCTCCTCAGAACAAAACTACGGGAAGAAAAATAACAAATCTGTCCTGCGCTCATCTTTACATTTAATTAAATGCTTTGAAATTCAATTTCTAGATTGTCACTACATTTTATATCATTCTGAAAGCATTTACCGTATTTTCCGCCGTACACGTCACACCGCCCTAGAAGTCTCGTCAGTCCATATTTCTCTAATAAAGTGGAAAAATCCATAAATAAGTCGCTTCACCGTATATGTCGCGTTTGTTACGCGTCACCACTGACAACCCAGAAACGTGGGCCGGTGTTGTACTAAAAATCGATTGGCTGCCAAATGGCGGCCGCAGGAGCGTGAACTGGAGGGCTTTTACAAGAATTTAACAAGATTAACACTTAAAAACAATTATTTGTTTGTTCGACATTATAGTAAAAGTGTGTCTTAGTCTAACTTTTACTTAATAAATGCACTTCATTGGTCAAATCAGCTTCATTTCTCCGGGGCGGCGAAATAAAGCTGATTTAACGGTTGCTCCAGGCGAGCTGTACGAAGGTGGCAGGCTAAGGCAAACCGATTGTGTCATTAATATCCACTTTTACCTATTACATGACACAACGGCATGCCATACTACTCGAGTGCCATCTAGCGGCTGAAAATGATAGTGTTTAATATTTTCAGTCAGAATGAATGAAAACGTTCATATTTGAGCAAAAAGTTGGTTTATAAATATGGGAAAAATCCATAAATATGTCACTTAGCATATAAGTTGCAGGGCATGCAAATTATGCAAAAAATACGTGACTTATACAGCGAAAAATACGGTAGTCTAAAATGCCAAACGTTGTGTGGATCACGTTGTGTTGTGGAGAGAATACAGCCTTTGCTTGGTGCAGTCAGCAGAGCTGAGGAGGCTAGTTTTAATCAAATGGAGCCCAGACAGTTTGCATAGTTGAATATGGGGCGGGGGGAGGATGGGGGGGTCCTCTGGTTCATGCGAATCTGAAGTTAAAAAGAAAACAAATAGCCAGAAGCACATTCTGAATCACAGCCTCAGTACTATTTATATTTACAGTTATTCAAAGTAAAGCTTTGAAAACAATATTTTGCATATTTGTACCATGATTTAGATACAGAGAGCACAGCGACTGTACACAGTATCTACACGAGTGTCAGTGCTAAAGTACCTGTACATTCCAAAAGTAGTCTTACAGGACGTCACTTTGTAATACAGGGGAAAGAATGCACACAAAAACATGGAGCAAACTGGGGGGGGGGGTGTCTTCTTTATAGTTTTATACAAAAACAATTTTGGGCTTTCATCTGCCCACATAAATTATTCACAGCTATGTTACAGTCTTGCTTTGTCCAAAGCTAAGTGCTTGGTGTGAGTTAAATGTTGGTGAGGCACAGGACTGGGGGGGTGGGGGGGGGCTCAGCTCACCGAGCCTCGATGTCTTTGTGTGCCGCTCTGTCTCTGATATCTGTGGCCAGGGGTGTAGTCCGTCTGGGCGAGCCAGGTCGGGCACCCAGTGTGGGGATGAGAGGGGGGGGAGCGCTTAAAGACGCCGTGGGGGGTGTTTTGTTCAGGAGGCTGTTGTGATGAGCAGCTGCAGCAGCTGCTGCCGCCGAGGGGCTCACCCTGGAGTAGTGCATGCCCGGGAGTCCAGGGGCCATGAGGCCCGGGGCAGGGTGGGGGAGGTGGCCATCCAGGGCGGGATGATGCATGGGGGGGTGGAGGCGCCCGTGCTCGTAGTCCTCTCTGAGCATGTTGAGGCGCTCTCGCTCCTCCATCTGGGCCCGCTCCTGCTCCCTCCTCTGCTCCATCACCAGAGAGTGGGCGTGGTCACGGTTAAAGTCGTGGGGCTCGCGGTCCCTGTAGGAGCGCTCCACCTCATAGAGGCGCGGCACCGCCAGCCGGTGCAGAGGATCGTTCCTTAGCAGCAGGTCCCTGGCCAAAGGATCCCGTCTGTGAATGTCCAGACCCCTGTAGGGGTCCCGCATTGGGTCCCAGTGGAAGGCGGGGTAGGGGAACCTCTCCGCTCCGGCGATGGGACTCGTACCCATGAAGGGGGCCACGACACGAGTTCTCTCTAAGCTGCTGATGCTGTTGATGGGGTGGACACCAGCCATGCCCATGGGCAGAGGCATTGAGGAGGGAGGGGGGAGGGTGGGTGTGGAGGACGCCTGTGGTGGGGGCTCACTTTGTCTCTCTGTGGTTGCGTCCTGCTCTTCCTTCTTCTCCTCCTTTACCTTCACCTCGTTATTCTTCTTCTGCTGTTCGTACGACAGCTCGGCTTTCTTCTCTAGGATGTCCCTGCTCAGGCCTCCGTTGGGACGCTCCAGACTGGTCTGACGAACGTAAGGTGATGTGGTCCCCCTGTTGGACACTTTGTCCTCGGACACTCTGCCATCATGGATGACAGGCGTGTCCTTGTCACTGTGCTGGCTGTCTTTGAGTTTGTGGTCATCTGCTCCGTTGTCTTTCCAAGAGTCCAAGTGCTCCCTCTCCCGGTCTTTGGCCTTGTTCTCCTTGTCCCTCTGAGGCTCTCCGGATGAAGGCGGCAGCTGGTTTCTGTGGTGCTCAGGGGGCCGGCTGTGACCCAGGAGGTTGACGGGATGTACAGGAACCGGGGATGGATGGCTTGGATGACGCTTTTCTAAAGAATCCCTAGAAGTACAAAGAAAGCACTCCACATCACTATCAACAGTCTACATGTTTAAAGTTGATATCTGAAGTAGGCTGTATGGAGTACTTATGTGTAGTCACTATCTCACCTGCTGCAGCAACTGGCTACTTCAGTTAAAATTTTTGAGCCCAAATCTCAAACAGCTACTCACCCATCATCATGTTTACATGTGTTTTATCACTTCTGTCAACAACAGAGCAAGATGCTCGTGCAATACTGATTTCTTACAAGTACTCCAAATAACTAAACTTAAAAACAAAATAAAAGTAAAGTTCCATAAACAACAATGCCATTTCATCACAACATATTCAAATAAATGGACCCAAATAGAATATTTCAAGTAAGCTAGAATGTTCTGTAAAATGTGAATACAAACAGAATGCAATGATTTGCAAATCTCATAAACCTACATCTTATTCAAAGTTGAACATAGTAAACATATCAAACATGAAATGCTGAAATTAAGAATTTGAACATTAAAGCCAGTAGCACATGTAAAAGAGGTGGGACAGGGCAACAAAAGGCAACAAAACAAGTGGTATAAATAATTAAAAACAGCTGGAAGAGCATTTTGCAACTGATAAGGTTAATGAGCAACAGGTCAGTGAGAGGACGAGACATAAAAGAGCCATTCAGTGAATGTCTTAGATGTAGAGATGGGCAGAGGTTCACCTGTCTGTGAAAAGTTGTGACTAAAAATAGGAGAACAATTTTAGAATATTGCTCCTCAACAGAAAATCAGAAAGACTTCAATACCCCATCACCTCCAGTTCATATCATCATCTAAAGATCTGAAGAATCTGGAGAAATCTCTGAGTTGGGCTGAGAGTCAGTGCTTGGGCCTGACTGCATAAAAACAAGTCGAACTCTGTTCTGCACGGGCTCAGGAGCGTTAAACACAATTCACAGTGCTATCCAAAAATGCTGATTAAAGCTCTATCATACAAAGAAGAGGCCACGTGTTAACAACCTCCAGCACCATTGGTGTGCTCTCTGGACTAAAACTTATTTAAAATGGACTGAGGTAAAGTAGAAAACTGCTCTTTGATCAGACAAGTAGAATTTAAACAATCTTTTTATGAAACCATGTACACTAATGTCCTAAACAAGAGAGGGACCATCCAGTCTGTTATCAGCACACTGTTTACAAGCCTGCCTCTCTGATGGTATGGGGGTGCATTATTGCATATGGCATGGACAGCTTACTCATCTGGAAAGGCACCATGCAGAAAGGTATATGCAGGTTTTAAACAACATAATGTTCCCAACCAGCAAAATAAATTCAGCAGGCATGACCAGCTAGAGGTCCATAGGTTCATAGCAAATAAAATATGATTGACGAGATTTGCAAATAATTTAATTCTGTTTTAATTTGCATTTTTACAGAACATCCCAGCTTTGTCAGAACTGGGGTCGTACGTGGACTTGAACGGTGCAAAACGTGAGGTGAAGTTTTAAGAAGCTCGGACTGCACCCACCTGTCTTTGTCATCTTTACCAAGCAACGAGTCCCGTTTGTCAGAGTCTCGGTCATGTGAGCTGACGGAGGCGCTCCGCTCAGAGTCTCCAGGTTTCAGCCAGGGAGGCGGCGTAGGGAAGGAGGGCGGCGTGCGGTGCAGGCGGTTCCACGGCTCCTGGTGGTTGCTGTTCCCACTGCTGCTGAAGTGCTGCTGCGGACTGGGGCCATCTTTGTGGCCAAACATAGAGTTGGCCACTGGTAGGGATTCAACACGTGGAAAGAAAACAGGACGCAAGTTAAATGCGTACATCAACATTTTGATCCAGTGTGTCCGTTAGGCCTGTCGCAATAAACAATAAATCAATTAATCGCATGATAAATGAAAATTATCTACCTCGTTTTCATTTATCAGCTTTATCGTTTCTTCGCGTCTCTCTTTCTACTGAAGACACTGGATGACAAGTTTTAACTATCCAAAATTGCATTTTTGGATAGTTAAAAGCAGCTAAGATGAGAAGCTAAGCTAACAGGCCAACCTCGGGGAAAAAACCTCCATCTTGTCAAAGCTCCGAATTTCACAGTTGAAACTCGAGCCTTTGAGTAAAACGTTGTTTTTCTCTGCAAAAAGAAGCTGAGAACTTGTTTACTGATTTTTTTATTAAAAGCTTTGTGTGAAAAATGCTAAAGAGCTCAAACCACACAAAGCGTCCGCCATTTTGAGAGCCAACAAATGGGAACAAGAGACGGCCCATGTCACGTCAAGGGGCCTCCCTCCCATTTTTCTTAGAGAGACACGCTGCTCGCTCCCTCACTATCCATCCTGCGGTTCAACCAGTCTTATACTTTCATCCGGTGGTTGAAAAAAGGTATTACAAGCAAAACAAATTAAACATTTCTTCTTAAATTTCACAATAATTACTAATTATTGTCAAATTTCAAACAATATTATCGTTTATCGCAATAATTTCTGAGACAATTAATCGCCCAGCAAAATTAGTTATCGTGACAGGCCTAGTGTCTGCTGATGTTTAGCTAACAGGATAATGCTAAACTAGTTATTGAAATGTAGTTTCAAATGGAAGCACATAAACAACAGTTTCATACACGGAGCTGAAACTCACTGAGTGCTGGATTTCCTAGACCCCCAAAAGCTGACGAACTGAGAGATCCTAGTCCTCCAAATGATGGCGGCCTACCGAAAGGCTCTGAGGACACACAGACACACAACGTGTTCACGTCAGTTCACATCTAAATGTTTTCAGTTTGTGACAATGAACACCCCTTACCCAAGTGTGATGCTGGGGTTAGGAAGTTCCCAGGATGATGGGGTGGATGACCAAAGGCAGCAGCTGATGGGTGTGTAGGACCTGTGGCAGAGGCACCCCAGACTGTGATATGACTGAGGGAAACTCTCACTTTGTTGTTTTTACAGTTATGAATTCACAAATAATAATGTAAACAGTCAACTTCTCTTTGTGGACAGCAGAATGCTTGGAAACATCTGAGGCTGTTAACTGTCAGTCATTCTGTGGAAATCTCACACAGACTCACCTGCAGCAGAGAAGAGCGTGGCGGGCCGAGCCAAGTCGCTGGGATGATGGATGGCTCCAAAGAGGCTGGGGCCCGAAGGTCGACTAAGAAACTCAGGCTTGAGGCCGAAGTCTAGCTTGTGAGGGTCGACCTGCATCTGCTGCTGGAAGACGCGAGAGCAACGCACAGAAACACATGAGAAACCTATCAAAAGATTCAGAGGCTCATGTAGCTTCAAACGTGACTCCACTCGATTAAAGAGCTGTAACAGCTGGAGCGAACGAGACACAGAAGGTCTTTTCCTTAACCGTTCTTTAAATTCAAAATACTTCAAGTAAGAAGCCTCAGCTGCGAAAAGAGCAGCATCAAACTGCTGGAGGTGCGTCTACGACTGAACTGTAAACCTCCAGGGGTCCCACTACGCACTGAAGGCACCATCGATCACAGAGTAACATCCGTTCAAAGGTATGACTGAAGAGGAGGCAGCAAGGGACAGTGGACTTTACTCTTTTACATGAGCGACATTAGACATTAGTCTTTCACCGACTAGTTGTAAAACATTTGGGGACTGCCTGAAGGCAGCCATCTATTCCACAACGTGCACCCCACAAATGTTACATTAAAACGACCGGCTCGGCACCGGGATGTGTGCTGTTACTTTGATTGGCGTTTCGAGTTACCATGGAGACATAAATTGCAAACAAAGGCGCCATTTTTCCTATCGAACAACACTGACGGAACTTTTTTAACAGCCTCGCACATGGTCACATAGTCACATGACCTAGAGGGAAGAGGTCTCTGAACAAAACACCGATTAACGTTTGAAGCCATTTTGGTTCAAGATGGCTGCCACAGCTACCCCAGAAAACACAAAATTGACTGTAACTCAGTCTTTCTTAGAGATACTGAGCTGAAATTTGGTACGGTCATAGCTGAGAGTGAGTTGTTGGGGCTGCTTAGAAAGGCAGCCACCTAATGCAAATCAAATATCCAAGATGGCCACCTGAGCTAAAAGGGAAAACATATGATAACTCAGCTATTTTAAAAGATAGTGAGCTGAAATTTGGTGTTTTGGTACCTGACAGTGATGTACAACACGTTCTGAATTCAAATGTAAAAATGCTGTCAAATTTTTTAAATGGTTGCAACATGGCTGTCCCGGTGAAAAGTTTCTCCTGGAACTTTCTAGTATATTATATTATTATAATACTGGCTGATGACACCAAGGTTAAAGTGGCTTTGAGATAAGACAGAGTGCGATGTTAGATGAAGCCTCACCTTTACTTTCTGTTGGTGGTGGTACGTCTGCCAGGCGATATGAACGTGCATGGCACACCACTTCCCTGGTTTCTGGAATAAAAAGACAAGAGAGGTCAATGTCACGACGAGCACGAGTCACAGTGAAGTCATTACAGACACCAGTTTACTGCGACGCTCCTAAAATCACTGCAGAATGCACCGAATGCTGACAGGAAAAATTGACAAATAAAGTTGAGACTCAAAAAAAAACCCACTATGAAACTCAAAACTATTCATAATTACTACATGGACCCTGTTCCAACTAACCAGGTTATTAGAGGTCAGTGCAGAAACATCCCAGAACTGTGAGACAAACAAACATTGACGGGATTAAAAGTTCTTTCAAACACTGTACGGCAGCAATTTTTGAAACTTGGTTTCATAAAATTTTATAGTTTATTGATTTGTAAATAACTTACTTCTGGTTTTCATTTTACACAGAATTCCATCTTTTTAGAACAAAAAGTCAACAAGAGTAAGAATACAGGGTTTCTTTCTTTATTTTGGGTACTAAAGGGTACTAAAATAATGTACGCAAGTAAAAGTACATTTACTCTGTAGAAGTTTTACTCAAGTTCGTATGTAATAATTTACTCAAGTAAAAGTAAGTCAGTAAATACTTTGAGTAAAAGTTACTGAGTTACTTGTTTAAAGTATGTCGCTCATGTGTTTCAATATTTTTTGTTTTTTAACGAGCTCTTAAATTACATGAAAAGCCTAATAATTTAATATACAACTACAAAATAAACATGCCCACACTTTATATTGAACACACAGAAAGAAGTACTTGTCTTTTTCATTCAGACTATCCCACTGTAAACTGGTTCAATAACAGAACATGTAGGAAGGTTGATTCAGATCCTCTGGATGGCTTCTTGTTGGTTCATCCAGAGGACCTGGCTCAACCTTGGTAGATTTATCTACCTGGATTACTGCGCAGCATCAGGACAATAACAAACCACAAAGCAGTTGGTAGAAAAACTCTTACATGACCCGTCCCAGTATAGGTTCTGATCACACTTCATTCTTGTGGCTACAACAGTTCAGTTCTTGCTCACAGAGACGTGAGGTGACATAAACATAACCTTTAAAACAGTGCATGATATGTCTAAAAAAAAGTTAAATCTGGTCCTCTGGACCTCTGCATATGAATAAATGACTTCTATTAAAAATAAGTTCAAGTTTTTTAAATGTATTATCATTAACAGAGCACTTTGCTCTCAGACTGCAGGTTTACTTGTGGTTCCTAGAGTTTCCAAAAGCAGAATGGGAGGCAGATCTTCCAGTTCTCAGGCTCCTCTCTTGTGGAACAACTTCCAGATTCTGTCCGTGAGGCTGACACATTGTCCAGTTTTAAGACTTTCCTTTTTGATAAATCCTATAGTTAGGGTTGGCGTGGGTTTCCTGAGCTATTCCTTAGTTGTGTTGCTAAAGGTTTAGACTGCTGGAGGACAAACTGTCTTCCCTCCTATAGAAAGCACACCTGGAACTGTCATTCTGTGTCTCTACTTCGATGGCTGCTCGTCCTGAATCTGGTCCTGCTGGAGGTTTCTTCCTGTTCAAAGGGAGTTTTTTCTTTCCACCGTCTCCTTTGTGCTCGCTCAGGACGGGAGACTGTGACAAAGTGACGATTCAACACCAACTGCTGCTTCCTTAGATAGAGAACTTTACTAACTGGCTTTTTTATATATGTGTCCTGAGACGACCTCCACTGTGACCTGGCGCTGTGTAAATAAACTGAATTGAATGAAGACCTGGTCAGTGGACCATGAGGCGAGGTTCACAGTTGAGCCGACTGTTGAGCTGAAAGTTTTCATTGTCACAGAGGAGGATTTCCTTCAGCCTGGTTAGATCATGGTGGTAACGGAGCCTGAACTCATCACCTGCTGAAGCTGAGCAGAGGATGACAACAGGTGAGCCAGCCTTGTGACGCTGAAAACTCTAAACTGAACCTGAAGCTACCTCACTGAGAAACCTATAGTACAGGTCTCTGGTGTCCAAGGTACTGCTGTGTGGTACTGGAAGCAAATAGAAACATTTTGAAATAGTAAACACATGTTTCTACCCGTGTGCTTCAGAATTAGAGGATTAGTGTTTAAATGCCAACAAACAGAATCAGTCATGCTGACTTAATGTGATGAACACAACTGTTCATGAACGCAGCACCCCAGCCTTTAGGTGCACCACTCATTCAATTAAACAAAGTATTAACAGAAACCCTTGAAGGCGTCATGCTGTTACTGAGTGTGAGGAAACAAGAGAATGACAGCACTCACCCTGAGGATGGGCCGAAACGGATCCGTTAGCTAAAACCAAGAGGAGAAAAACGTCATTTTGCTGTTAGTCACATCGCTTTATTTTTATAGTTTTCTTTGGAAATCGAGTACCATTGAAGTGTCAAACTGCAGGCCATGTGCACGCAACACAATGAAATGGGTCGCGTGAGAAAAGAGTCAAGACTAGTTGTGTCAGGTGTGTAAGGCACAACATGCTGGTTTGTTCACACACACTGTCAAATGTGTGACTGTGATATAAACTTATACAGATGTTTACTTTAAGATCAGTCGTTAATTCACACCTGGATGCTGAACAGTGTTCTTTTCGTCTCTGTGCAAACTGCACGATGTTTGATGGTAACAAGGTTTAGCACTAAAATCACACAATCTGTTGACTCAAACTGTGAATGTGTGTCGAGTCCTCTTTCTTACCCGGGGGTCCTTCTGTAGAAATGTCTGTGGGATGGCTCCAGGTCTGCTGGAAACATCCAGGGGGTTGGAGGTCTGCAGAGCACAAGACAAGGTTAGAAAAGACAGATCTGCTTCAGCTTGTGTCTCTGAGGCCGAGTTAGCGGCGTCTTACCTTGGGCTGGAAGGCCCCCTGCAGCGAGCTGAAGGGCCCGGTCGGGGGGATGACAGGAGGAAGGCCAGACATGGCTGGTGGGTATGAGTGGAAGAGCTGAGGAAGACGAGACAGAGAAGAAGAGTCTTTAAGACGGAAGTGGTGCAGACTCCACCGTTCACTCAGATCTGAAGCAGCACGCATGACGTTTCACAACAGCTGTTCTAAAAATGTATTCTGAACCATTTCCTTTTGGATTCAAAACATAAAAACAGCTCTTGCATATGGAAACAAGAATGTTGGAATATTAGCAAAACACATGTAAACCATTTAAATACAACCTCTGTCGATCACATTAGCAAAGGCACAGAACTCAAAACAAGCTTGTTCTTATTTGAAGCGTGCAAGAAATATTTAAACATTTGCTGCATTTATAAGACTGAGTTTATTACAGCTCCTCAGACTGACGAAACGTTTCACCAACTTTTCATTTTATTATTATTTATTTATTTGGATCCGCCCAGAGGACCTGACTTAACTTTGTTAGATTTTTCTACCTGGATTATTGAGCATGAAAAGATATTTCAAGGTCAAGGTCTCTTTATTTTCATTCTCATCACATGTGATGGAACAAAATTGTGTACACTCCGATTCTCTAAACAGATAATACTCTGCCTGCTGTCTACTGCAAGTAAGATACTGACTGCTCAGACCAACTCCACAGAACTGGACATTGTGTCTATTTGCTGCACGATTTTCACAGCAGTCAGTTTTATTAATGGGCGGCTTCAGGGCCTTTGCTTGTAAAAAGAGCATGGAAAGGACAAATGCAGGCTTGGAAAAATGATCTAGCAATTTATATATAACTAAAATTCCCTTTTCTATCCTACTGTATTTTTCTAATATCAAGACATTAAAATAATATTCAGGTCCTACAACAGCATTTCAGTTGGTTCAAGCCTGGATTTTGACCTGCAACTTCTTTTTCAGCCATTCTGTTGTAGATTTGCTGCTGTGTTTGTGACCGCTGTAACAGGTAATAAGTCCAAATTATCAGCATCCCACTACCGTGCCCCACTGCAGCTGTGAGGTGTTTGTGCTGATGTGTTTAATTTTCTCCAAACAAATTGCTGTTTATTATGGGAAACTAATTTCATGTGCTTGAAAAACAATGCTCCAAAAGTCCTTTTGTTTGTATAAATGAAGATGTTGAGGTTCTCCTTAGGCGTGGCAAGGATGGAGAAGATCAGGAATGAGATCATCAGAGGTACAGCACAGGTTGAACAACTGGGAGATAAAGTTAGAGACCAGACTGAGATGGTTTGGACATGTCCAGAGGAGGGACAGTGGTTTGGACATGTCCAGAGGAGGGACAGTGGGTATATTGGTAGAAGGATGTTAGACATGCAGCTGCCAGGAAAAAGACAAAGAGGAGATACATGGATGCAGTTAGAGAGGACATGGAGGTAGTTGGAGTGAGGACAGAGGACGCAGAGGACAGAGATGGAGGAGGATGATTCACCGTGGAGACCCCCGAAGAGGGAAAAGCCGACAGAAGATGAAGAAGAAGGAGAAGGAGATGAAATTTTGAGTAGCGCTGCCATGTTTTTTTAAGTGTTGAGGTTTGTCATGATTTTTTTTCCTTACATTATTTTAAGCCTTTAACAGACCAAATGAGACCTGTGTTTTTATGAGGCATAAACTGAGCTAAAGATTTCCTTATTTTTTAAATTTTATCTCTTAAAAAGATGGTTAAGGTTTTTAAATTCCAGTTCCATGGAGTTGTTCTGAGCAGTCAGTGTCTTACTTGCAGTAGACAGCAGGCAGAGTATTATCAGTTTGGAGAATCAGAGCGAAACTGACTCAGGCTAATAGTTAGCCCGAGACCTAAACTGCTTCAGATGACATGATTTAACCTTGTTGCTGTTATCTGCCTGGATGACTGAGCTCACAAACCTTAACTTATTTAAGGATTGATTCTCACCATCAAAAACAACTCAAACACAAAATCATTAAGTTGTGTAAAAATACTATATTTTTCCACTAACAGCGCATTTTAAAATATAGTTTACAGAGAAAATGTTCAGCTTTGAGTTAAGGTAACTGACACCATTTTGACTGTTGTCTACTGCAGGTAAGATACTGACTACTCATAAGCATCATTTGACACATTCTTAATGCTATCTTTAAGTTTTTAAACACTCTTTCTGCATTTTGTCTTTGTTTCTGAGTGAATAACAGCGAATGATGCATTTTGAGTTTATAATTTTTATAATATAAAAAGTTCCAAGTGATTGTTTTAATGACTTGTAGAACTGAAAAACTGGTTTTAAATTCAGAGCAGCTTTGTTTAAACCAGGGACAAAAACATGATTTTCTTCTCAGGGACTGCAACAGCTGCAAGAAGAAACGTCTTTTTGTAGAAATAAAATGTGCAGAAGGTTCAGCTGAGAAAGAGGAGAACACATGAAACAATAAACAGCTTCCAAATGTAGTAAATCTAATACTCAGAACAGGCTGGCTCCTCTGCACCAGCAGTGTTTCAAAAATCAACATTAGCCAGAGCTGAAGGGTGGAATAACAGCCAGGAAGCATACAGTAGCTACTGAGAAGCACATGAGTGACCGCATGGAATGCACCACACACACACACACACACACACACACACACACACACACACACGTGCATAAACACACACACACCAATGTAATACTAACGATTATGGGCAACACAGCGTGATGAGAAAGCAGCAAACTGCTCTGCAGCTAGATAATATGCAGTAAAAACTCACACTGTGTCTGTAGAAGGGGTCAACTTTTGTTGGGTATTTGTCAAACTGTAGGAGAAACGAAAGAGAGCGAAGTTCAGACTGCAGAGAGGAACAAACAACCTGCACATCCATCATCACAGGGCCCACGTGCACCTCTTTTAATTCAGAGCATCTAAGATGTGGAGTGACGCTTGAGTTTAGGGGCCTTGCAGTGGTGTACAGTACAATTTTCCTGCATCTGTACTTTACTTAAGTAGATTCAAACGTGGGTACTTTCGATTTTTACTCCACTACATTTTACGTTAAGTATCTGTATTTTCTACTTCACTACATTTCTATAATGCGTTGTGTTACAAGTTAGATTCACGTTGCAGTTTGACAGTAACCAGTGATGAGAGGAGAGCTGGTCCATTGAATCACTGCAAAGTGGGCAGGTAACGTTAGGCCCCGCCTTCAAGAAGAGCTGGGCCAACGACGTTTATTCTAGTATATATGTCACTGAGCTGGTGCACCCACAGCACCACTAACACCCAAACTGAATTCCACCGCGAGAGTCAGCCAGAAGATACGCACCACCTTACTGAAAGACTATTGAAAGACTATTCAGTAATAAGCAATATTAAATATTAAGCTCGGTCTCGGTCCAAGTTTTAAAAATGGTGTCAGAAAGTTAAAATATTGTTCATATTGACCCATTACAAGGTTGATGGACAGTATTTTACTTTGTAACTAAAGTTGATGACAAACTGGAGTTGAACTGATCAGAGCCTGTTCCTTTGTTAGGTCTAATGCTCCTTTTGTTCAGGCAGACAACTTTTACTTAAACATGTTTACTGCAGTTAAAATGACACATTGGTTTTGATTTGTGTTAAATAAAAACTTTCACAGGTCATTCCTCTTGCTTATTTTGATTAATGGCATTTAACTCTGCAGGTCCTCCCTGAAATTCTGACGCACAGAATCACAAGTCCAAGTGTGCACGGTGTCACAGAGTAAACACAATAAAAACATGTATTATCTGCAGCATTGTTCATTAAAATGACTCAACACTATTAATGTGTTACAGAAAATATACATACGGTACGCAGACTTAAAGATATTGTAAACCATTGCATTACATTAGGTAAAACATTCAGCAAGTACTTTTACTTTTGATACTTTAAAGTACTTATTTATTTTTACTTAAGTAAAAACGTTAATGTGGTACTTCCACTTTTACTAGAGTACATTTTTGTTTGTTTGTACTTTTACTTAAGCACAGCGCTTGAGTACTTTCTTCACCACTGATTATCACAGGGTTCAGATGGACCTCTTTTAATTCAGTCACTGCACAAAACTGCATTTACATACAAATAAAACATCTAAGCTGTGGAGTGACACGGTGCTTCGCCTGTTTTTATTCGCCTCGTTGCGAGTGGGCGAAGGCCTCGTCCAGCGGTGAGGGCTGGGCCTCATTTGGTTGCACGCTCAGGGCGAACATTTCCACAGTCGAGACTAAACTGCAGTCATAAAGAGGCTTTTTATGGCCTCATTAGCTGTCAGAAGACTCACCATGATGCCTTTGAGGTATCATCAGAGCCAAGCGACTGCTCCACGCCGTGCTGAATGTGTGTTTACGTGCGCTTCAGAACGGGTCACCCACTGCCTGTGGTCGCTCCCAACAGAGAGCGGCGTTTTTAATGTGATGCATTTGCCAGTACGGAAAAGCCCCAAACGGGACCGAATGATGTCATTAAATTCAGAATGAATTAGGAGCATTATGCTCTGAAGCTGGCTCTGAAGTCCGCGTGCTCCAGGCAACTTATTGCCAATTTAGAAAATAACAGCGTTCGAGTCTGGAGCATGCCAGAAAAAATAGAAAGGCTGTTTTCTGTGAGAATAAAGACGCTGCTGTAACGTGCACACATGGTCATCATTGAAAAGCCGCCACAGAAACCCACAAGTCTCTGCCGCTCACACACGTCCAGATTGTGTAAAATCTCTTCTGCCACGACCACAAAGTAAAAACAGTTTGAGGGCCAACTCCGCCCCCCTCCTCTGGAAAAGTTATCAGACACGGGCGCCCCCTCCAACCCAACACGTGTGCTCTACTTATCCTCACATTTCTGGCAGGGGTACGCACCATGGGCGGTGCTGGGGTGGGCATGATGGCGTGGGGGAAGGGCGTGAAGGTGTGCTGGTGCGTGTGCTGGTGGGTGTGTTGGTGCTGATGCTGGTGCTGGTGCTGGTGGAACTCGGTGCGCAGGTAGGGCGGCGGGCCCAGCGAGGCGCCGCGGTCTGCGCTCTGGGAGGCCAGGAAACGTGTGTTGAGCTCCTGACGCAGAAGGTCTTGCTCTGGAGAGGAGGAAGAAAGAACAGATTGGAAACAGAACTTCTCTCTCGGGGTTAACGGCCACAAGAACGCAGGATCTGTGTCGACGCGGCACATATCGCTTTACTCCAGGTGTTGCAGATTTGGGAATATATCACCAGTAAGCAATGAACAGAGAAGCAGCAGCAACGAAATGAGATTATCAGCATGTCATTTTGAATTGAAGGAACGCTCGAGATGATTAGATTTGTCTGCTGGACCCATCAAACACTGTGATTTGATCCACTCCGGTCCCCCGGAGACGGCAGCATCTGCTCTTCTAATAACCTTTGAGCAACCTGTGGAAAAAGACGACATTTCCAAGTAATTATTGGCTTTTCTTCTAAATTCAACAAAAGCCGCCATGAGAGAGCGTCTCCTCCAGGGGAACTTTATCCTCCCTATCCCACTGTGGCTCGAAACAATATTTTCTACATTCATTTCTTGACTTTATTGGACTGGGAGTGTGGGCGGACTTTTCTCTTCATAAAAATTTCATTAGTATCTTCTGAACAAAATCCAGCTCGCTCCATTCTGCATCAGAGAAATTGATTTCCTGCTCGTGAGCATTGTTCCAGGTGAAAATGATGGTTCCAAAGGAAGCACACCCGTACATGCACGTGCACACATTGACCCTGACATTTAGCAGCAGGGCTCTGTGGACTTCTGCAGAGCACCCAGGCAGGACATTACTGGCGTGCAGAGAGCGGAACAGTCCCAACATGAGCGTCAGCGTGAGAACTTCAACCGACCTCAAGAACAAGAACACACCAAACCAGGGTCAGGATGTGCTCGTGGAAAATACTGGACTCAATTTAATCTTTCTTTAAATAATTATTAGAATAACTTTCATCTGGTTCGGCCTTTCTGGGTGGAGTTTGCATGTTCTCTCAGTGCATGCGTGGGTTTTCTCCGGGTACTCCAGTTTCCTCCCACAGACCAAAAACATGCATGTTAGGCTGATTGGTAACTCTAAATTGTCTCTAGGTGTGAGTGAGAGAGTGAATGGTCGTTTGTCTCGTTTGTCTCTATGTGTCCCTGTGATGGACTGGAGACCTGTCCAGGGTGTACCCCGCCCCTCGCACAGTGACTGCTGGACGTGTGCACCGGCAACCCCCGTGACCCAAAATGGAATAAACGGGTAAAGGAAATGGATGGATGGATGGACTAGTGTGCTTTAAAGGTCGACTGTCTTTCATTACAGTTTTAAACTACAACGTTATAAAGAAAAACAACAGCATTAAAGCAATTGTAGTCAGACCTTGTATTGGACAGAATGCATGTTTTATTAAAAATCCTTCTATTTGTCGTTGACACTGAAAATATAAAACATTGCTGTCTTTAGAGCAGGGGTCTGCAACCTTCATGATTAAAAGAAACATTTCTGCCCCTTCGTGCACTAAATTAAACGTGTCCGGAGCTGCAAAACCTGCTGCAAGTGTCGTCATCAACTGGTGGCCCATGGGCCTCTTTAAGTTTGTTAGAGGGGAAGAAAGTTCATGCTCAATCATCCAGGTATCAAATCCAAAAATTCTCAGTCAGGTCAGTTCTAGGTTCAGGTTCAGGTCAATCTGGACAGTTTCTTTTAAAAAACTTTTTATAGAGACGTGTTGCCCTCTATCCGGAGGGCTTCATCAGATGTGGCTGCCTGGGAGGAGTCGACGGGGGACAGGACAGCCCCCAGAAACCATCTTAGCTCCAGCAAACTGGCTGGTCCATTTAACAAGTTTACTGCTTGGTGGGGAAACAGTTTACTGGAACTCCTCAGACTGATGAAGCCCTCTGGATAGAGGGCGAAACATCTATATAATTTTTTTTTTAAAGAAACTGTCCAGATGACCTGACTGAGAATTATTGTTAGAGGGGGAATTTCTGGCCAGTAGGTGTGAAATTATTAAACTGAAAACATCCAGTGGTTGTTAACATTTATTGATTTGCCAATTTAAAAAAAACAAACTAAAACACAACAATGAACTGTGCAGGCATATGTGATGTTTTTTTTTAAATTGTGGAGAAACTGAGTATCCTACTTTGAAGAAATAAAGCAAAACGTTAAAGTGAGTATAATTTACTCTGTGTAGTATTCATTCATTCAACCTTTATTTATACAGTTAATCTCATTGAGCCTCGAGGACTCATTAGTATTAGTACTAGTACTAGCATTAGTATTACAGTAGTACTAGTATCCACATATTTGCAAAGGAAATGACAGGAAAACTGCTAAAACTATTCTTTTTGTTGTTGTGGGTATAACTTTTCTATAAAATTCAGTTTTATTTCAGTTTTGGTCAAAGCTTGAAAGAGCCACATGTGGCTCCAGAGCCGCAGTTGCAGACCCCTGCTTTAAGGACCAAAGGGACAGTTCTTTACCACACCACATGGGGGCGACGTGGGGATGTTAGTGAGCAGCTTGTGACGTACCAGAGTAAGCACTCCCAGCAGCAGGATGTCCAGGTACTGGCAAGGCGCTAGACGTCAGTGGTGGCGGTGGAGGCAATGCAGCTGGAGTCGCAAACATATTGGGATGATGGGGATGTGGCGAGGGCTGCAAGGCAGGGGGGAAGCCGGGGCTGCTGTGGTTGGCAGCCAGAGGCAGGGGGAAGGTAGAGGCGGCAGGCGGGTGGTGGGGAAGGTGCTGGGAGGGAGCAGGCCCGTGGAGCTTGGTGCTGGGGGTGCTGCTCCTGCTGCTGCTGTAAAAACAGAAAAAACAAGCGTGTGACAGCGGATGGAGCCAGGCGTGATTAGTCAAATTTAACACTTGTTCCTGCACGTCCCCTCATCTCCATCTGCTTCGCCATCCAAATCCCAACGCAGTATTTTCACACCTCCACTGCCTCCCGTTTTACAAACGCCTCCCCGCTTCACTCGTGTTTCACAGAATCCAGGCAAACAGGATCTGTGCAAACCCTTCAACCACAACACCCTTTGGATTGAAAACCACCGCTGGCACACAAAACAAAATGAACATCTGTCTTTGAACAGCTCCTGTTATAAGGCACTTCCTCCAGCGCCAGGTACGGAACATGTGCACAGGAAATGGGCTGAGAGGGAGATAGAGGGTGTGCGTGCGTGCCAGTGTTAGCAAACAGCCTTTTGTAGTGTGTGTGGGTTTGTCCCCAGGGCCATCACAGAGCCTGCGTCTTCACAGCTCCACACTTTAAGCCTAAAAGCTCATTTGCTTCACTCGCTCTTTGCTGTAGGCCCCGGCTGGGATAATTCGCAACGGGTGCCAGGCCGTGGTGCGCTGGCAGGCTCGTCGGGCTGGCACCAGAACCGGAAGACCGAGCCAAGTCCTGAGAGTCTGTGAGGCAGAGCTGTCGACGGGACCGAGCGCGTTTCGAAGAAGCCGTCCTCAACACATTATTAGAAGCCTCGCACAACACGAAGGACTAACAGACATTACAACACACAATTAATTATTTAGAAATATAAAGCTGAACTCTACTGGGACTCCTCTAAAACAAGTTAAAACAACAAGTTTATAGAAAAGCCTTTTCTAATTATTTTGCGGATGAATATAAATCCATGTGCTTATTGGTCTTTTGTTCTCATTCTCAGACAACACCCCCTCCACAAGGAACAATGCGGTTCTGATTTAAGGCGACAGAGCTCATACATCATCTCATGTTGGAGCGTGCACGTTCACTGTTAATAATTAGAGAAACCGCTTCAGCCGTCCCTGATGGCAGGCTGAATGTTCTTCTTCAGAACATTAAAGATCTTAAAGTCCATGCAGACGTGTTACCTGTGGCCGTTGTAGGCAGAGAGAGGCCGGGGCTGGCAGCGTGACGGGGGCCGGTGAGGCCCCGCCTGAGTCGGGTGCTGTTGGTGTGGGTGGTGATTAGGGAGCGCAGGAGACGGTGGGTGTGGGTGAAGACTCTGCGCAGGCTGAGGCCTGCTGTGAATAGGCTGGTCCGGTTGGGGTCGGGGAAGATGGTTTGGCGAGGGCACTTGGCCCTGGGGAAGAGGCAGGGCTGCAGGGGTCTGAGGCCTGGGGGGAGCCTCTGAGGGAGGGAGCGGGTGGGTCGAAACCGGAACCTGGCTGGAACTGTTTGCTTGAGTTCGAAGAGGGGACAGGGTCTGGGGTTGTGGCAAAGGAAGGGTTTGGGGGGACAAGCTTGGGCTTGTGGGGCTATTTTCAGGGGGTTGAGGGTCTCTGCAGCTCTCCTGGCTCCTTTCCTGGCTCCGTTCTAGGCCTGACACCTTGAGGAGGCCTGGGCCAGGAGGCCCCTGGCTGCCATTGGTGGAGAGCACATTGATGGCAAAATCTGGAACTGCAAAACAAGAAGAAAACAATAAATGAGTGCACCTCCCACTACAAAAAAATAAACCAGAAACACACACATTTATTGACACTAACACGTTGATGGATTTAAATAACACTAAAACTGGATGGAAATGTCCACAGTGAATGACCCACAATCATCTTTTAACAGAAACAATGACAGCTAACAGACTAATGTACAAAACAGTCAGATTTTTCATTATTTTAGTTCAGTGCAGATTTCAGATTAAGCTTAATTTAGGTGTTATATATGATGTATCTATATACAGTCTATTTATTGTTTCTTTTTTTCACCCACAGTCTATTAAAAACATAAAAAATTAACATTGTTCTGATATAATCTCTTACATACGATAAAGAAATACTGACAGTAATGATAATTGGCACATTGTAGAAGGACACAACAAGATACAAATACTATAATAATAAATTTAGTTTAGTATCTGATGAGTGTTACTAACTGGTGAAAAACTTGTTATGAAATATAACGGCTGAACTTCGAAATGTGAATAAATCTTTGAAAAAAGTAATAATTGCTGTACTATGCTGAAGTTGCAGAGAGCCACAGATAATAAACTCCATCCAGGGTATTTGTCAACGGGAACCTCATCCGACAGAACAAGGTGCTCAGACATCAGCAGTCAGCTCCAGAGGCAGAGAGGCTCATGGGAGCTGACAGCACATACATAAACTGTAATTAAGGCTCTCAGGGCCTCATGGGAGCTTGCCAAGGGCTCCTCCTTTTTCTTTGTGAAGCCAGCTAAATCCTTTACCTGCCAGAAAGGTGTAGATGGGCCCCAGGTCCCCTGGGTGCAGACAGCAGCCTGCACTGCAAAGCAGCCACCTGTCACTGGGGGGCTTCCACCTCCCTGACAAACTACACCTCCAGACCAACTTCACTGGGAGCAGGTTGAGCCAGCTGAGCTCCATGAGCACTGGAGGATCTACAGATTTGGTGGCACAGGTGAGGTTCCAGCAAGAGGGGCAGAGCTTAAACTTTCCCATTAGACACCCAATTTTATGCATTCAGGTTATTTATCTTTACCAAAGACATAAAACAACACTTAACTAAGTGATGCCTGCCAGAAACCCATTATTTCCCTAAATTCAGTAAAGACTTTGCTTTTCTAAAACATTTGCATTGACACACACACATTGAAATTACGTGAAAATGACCCATCAGCTTTTCACATTAAACAGTCTATAAAAAGGTACACAATTAATGAGAGATGCACAATATTGGACATCAGATATGCTAATATGTTAAAACTTGTTTGGCTGATAATCAACCAATACCGATTAATTATTTTCCTAGACCTACTTACAGAGACTACATGACTTTCTCTGCTGTGGAATTAAAACACTACATTATTCTGCAGGTCTTTGTCAGTTTGGCCTGCTACCAAATGCAGATGCCAAACAGGAGGGCTGAAAAGGATGTAACACTTCAACTTGGATTATGTTTAATGTCAAATTTATTCATGACATTTACTCTCTCTAACACAATGACAACACTTGAACAGTGCAACTTTGTAATCTTTCACAAATCGAAACTCAACGGCACGCGTGACATCATAACTTTGTGCTGGTGCTGCAGGCATCCTTGTCATTGGGTTGTCATACAAAAACATTGACTTTCACATACATTTATGCCACGAAATATACTGTACACACACATATATATATATATATATA